TCAGAATTAGTCCCCCTAGAAATAAAAATTGACGTGTTCTTTGAAATTTTCGATTACATATCCGTTTCAGACTTACAGGGGGGGTCAAGTTTTTCTTAGAACGCCCTTTATATTTTCAAAATTTGACCGACCTTGTAATTCCTAAAGTTTAGAATAAACAAATACAAACCCAATTAACAGGTAGATCCACCTGGTGTTTCCAGTTTTAGGTTAGAAATGTATTAGTTAGTAGGGCTAGAAGTTGATAATTGTTATACTTATCATTTATTAAAGGTTATGGAAGATAAAAAATGAGTTGAAGTGTAGTATTCTTATTCCTCCACTGAAAAATGTTCACTGCCAAGTTAATTTCAGTTTAGTCTCTACATGCTGTCTCTATACATATTAGCTACCACTCCCCGCGATAAAAAAAACTGTAATTTGAACAGAAAAAATACTTGTGACGATAAATTAATATAAGCATGGTTTGATTTTCGTAATGCAACATTAGACACAAATGACACTACAAATATTTTGTAGGTACGATAAGGAAATTTTCTCATTCCTGCGAAAGTGTGCGATCAGTTTCGAGCATTCCAGTGGATTGAATATTTAACATGTTTGAACAAGGTTATTTTTCCCTTCCGTCGCTATACTTGTGCTTCTCGGCCATATTGAAATAATTTATCATCCTTAATGCCTTCCTTTGTGTACCGAATAAATTTCGAATATATTTCTTCGCGAGTTCAATTTAGACGAAGAAAGCACATAACGAAATACAATAATCAATTTGTCTTACTACATTCACGGACGAAATGTAAGTAATACATACAAAGTGTGTGTATTTAAAACCGATCCACTTTCAATATTTCAGAAAAGATATGTAAAATTGTTCTTTTTTTTTCTGATTGACTCGGCTGTTACTTGGTTAAGATCCATAGTAATTTCATAAACTACACCAGAAAAGATTTGATCTTATGAAGATTAAACTGTTTTCGATGTAGTTTGTGAAAATGATACATTTTGGTTTCAAGGGCATGTCACGAACTAGAGAGTAGGTGATATATAAATGATTTACCATAAGAAGTAATGAGTATGTAAAGTAGAATATTTGGCATGCTCATATTTCAAAGCAAATAAACAGCATCCAGAAGAGGTCAAACCTCACCCATGGAATGATACTAGGATCAACTGCAAGCGGAAGATCCCTCTCCTTAAACCGCCATTTTAACAGATAGTCGGTGTTACTATCTCCATTTGGGTTTGAAGGCCGTCTTAGTTTGGAACTGTATCCTAAAGGTGCGTATTCACCAAAAAAGCGAGCACGAGCGAACAAGAGTGAACGAGCATTCTGCATCAATAATCGTATGATGAGTACGGGCTAGCGAGCGAACATATGCTTGTTCGCGTTCAGAAATGATCGAGAAGAAGGTCATACATCAAAAGGTGCTCGCACAAAGTAGATGGATCAACTACGACTACGAACTTGAAGATATTCGATCTGATGTGGACGAGACATCAATATGCCGAGCAAACACGAGCGAACATGAGCGAACACAAGCAAACATACATGAATGCTCGCTTATGCTCTCTCTTGCTCGCTTTTTTGGTGAATACGCACCTTAACGTTTCGCCAGCACGAGTGGCTGGCTTCCTTAGAGGTTAATTCGTCTTGATGATTCACCGATGACCGGCGATTTCTAGTTCGTAGGTTGTATTTATCTATGTTGACTCAGTTAGTCCGTCTCTCTTCTTTGCTATTGGCCGAAGTGTTATTACCTGTTAATTACATTACATTGCGCTCTTGTCACTTTAGCTCCTTTTAGTATGGAATTCCAAATCCGGTTAAGCGATACTGCCTCTGTTGTAGTTTTCCGTTGTAGTTTATGGATTTCTATGGGTTCCCGTAGAAGCCAACTGTGGTATCCGTGATCGGGGGCAAGTAGTTTCATATCTTCAAACAGTATCGTGTGATCTCCTTCACTAAACGCGTGTTCCACTACTGCCGATTTGTCTATTTAACCTAATCTAAAGTTTCCCCGATGTTCATTCAGCCTTGTACTCATGGATCTTTTGGTGGTATCGATATGAACTTTTCCTCAGGTGCATGGTATATGATATACTCCCGCAGCTGATAGTGAATCTTTTTTGTCTTTCGCAGATCTAAGGCTTTGTTGTATTTTCCTTGTGGGCTTGGACACTGTTTTTATTTCATGATTTTTCCAATTCTGTTTGTACCACCAGAAGATCCATGGGTACAGGCTGAATGAACATCGGAGAAACTGTAGATTAGGTCGAATAGACAAATCGGCAATAGCGGACACCCGCTTAATGAAGGAGATCACACGGTACTGTTTGAAGATGTGAAACTACTTTCCCCCGATCACGGATACCACAGTCGGCTTGTACGGTAATCCATAGAAATCAATAAACATAAGGGAAACTACAACAGAAAAGAGAAGGCGGTAACGCTTAACCGGATTTGGAATCCCTTACCAAAAGATGCTGTGGCAACAACGCAATGCAGTGTTACGTCATTAACAGGTAATAACACTTCGGCCAGAAGCAACGCATCAACAAGAGAGGTGGACTACCTGAGTCAACATAAATACAACCTACGAACTAGAAATCACCAGTCATCGGTGAATCATCACGATGAATAAACTTCTGAAGAAGCCAGCCACTCATGCTGGCGAAACGTTAGTATGCAGCTCCAAACTACGACGGCCTTCAAACCCGAATGAAGATAGTAACACTGAAAATCTCGGCCGCGAAAGCCTTAACCAATTTAACAGATAGTACTGAAGAATCTCACAACTTCTCAATATAAAATTTTGTTAATATCAGTGGTGATGTGTCTAGATCTAGATAAACTACACCTTACGATTTGATATCCACAAACTGTATTTGAGAAATATATCACCACATGTTTCGCTGATACAGTAGCTTCTTCAACAGTGAATTCAAATCGAAAGGTGTAGTTTATGAAATTTCAATACTTCTTTGAAAAGCCTTTCATTGTGATTTTTTTTCATACTTTCGTTTGATTTGGATACTACCTTCACTATTCAACTCCAAAAAATCTTCTTTATGTTGAAATAAAAACTAGTTTGGTTGAAGAGATACGAATACTCAGAACCAGCAGTTTCGATAATACTTGGAAAATACTTTCCTATGTAGTGTTTTTTTTAATGAATACTAATATTCAAAACAAAAACTTTTTCCAATCGCCTGAAATGCAATACTCTTCTCGACATGCGTTTCACCAACCAAGTTGGCGTCTTCATTTCCTAAAGACGCCAAATTGAGAAAAGTGATTGTTTTGGATTCTTTCTACGCCAGAGGTTCCAGTTTTATTTTTTATTTTCTTTCTGATCTTATTCTTTTTCACACACAAAACTGAAAATGAATAACGAAGTCACCATCAGAACTGATTTTTTATAAACAAAACCCGCTTACAAACCAACTCGAAAGATTGAATTAAAAACAAAAGATAACATACTCATCTAGTCAAATTTGTTGTTTAAAGCAATTGCTTGTTTACTTATGCAATGGTGAAAGTTTCAGATCATCAAGTTTCGTTTTTATAATTTCACATTCGATTTTTCAATTCAGCGAGTATCTCACGGGTTTTTTGTATACCGTAAAGTCAAAATACGGACACTGACAAAATGTATACCAGAAAAAATTTGTTAAAACATTACAAAAAAAATGTTTCATGTCTCCTCAAAATAGTGGAATATTCTGGAACATGAAAATACAAAAAAATATTTGAAAAACTTTTTTGTTTGACATACCTTGGCGAAGTCAATCTTCAGCGTGCAGCATCCGGAATATATGTCAGCTCCATTCAAGGAATCCTTGGCCCTCATTGCCGATTCCACACTCTCGAACGTATTGTATATTAAGGAAAATCTATAGCAGAAAATGGTGGCAAAAGCATATAGAAAGTTCTTCCACTCCCAACTTTTTAACGAGACAAGATATCAAAGTCGGACAGAAGTTAGAATGGAAAGGAATCATTTTTTAGTAGTTAATGGTGTGACATCACTTGTAGCAAAGCAGGCGCTATCAACTTTTTTCAAGTAGAAAGGGGGTTCCTGAATCTTTTTCGAAAGATATTTCAATTCTTTATACAACGATCTTCTCCGTTTTGAATTTGGATAACCGGTTTCGGAGTTATTGGCGTATGAATTGGAAACTACGAAAAATGATCATTCGAATCGTTGCAACGAATGGGAATTGAAACGGCTCCAAACTTACAGAAGTTACACAAAGTTTGTAATGTGTAAGAGAACGATATTTTTCAAGAAAATGATTCGTGTTTGGAATAAAATTTAACTAAACCAAAGTACATTTTTATAAGAGATTAATATTTGAGAAAAATTTTGGCTTTCTACTTCTCTATCTTGATACAAAAAATGTAGGAATCTTCCGAAGAAACGAAGGAAGCAATCAATTTCAAAAATTTATTATATAGAAACATGTGTAGATTATGCAAAGAAGTAACTTTGATACACAAACTGGATAAAAAAAGCCCTCTCAAAACATCTCTTTTCATATAAACATTGAATTACACGAAAGAAAAAAACTTTCGAAACATATGAATACTGAATTATAGGAAAAAACACTTTTCTCTATTCCGTTTGTATTCCAAACATTCGTGATGGAATCAAATCAGATATCATTCACAGGATTCTTACACAATATAGTAATTGAAAAAAGTAAAATTTATCTTACATGGAACACTGTCATCCTCACTGCTAGACATCCGATGTTTTTCCGTTGAGTTGAATCCACCTATGTCATCGATAACAGTATGCAAATAACATTCATTCGCTTATTTGAAAACAACTGTTCGAAAGGGCTTCTTCTTCCAAATCGTGTCCCAAAATTACTTCTTTGCATGATCCATGCAAAGAAGTACTTGCAGAAACCGGTCTGCAAGTGTGCCCGTTCCTATAACTGAAAATCGATTCCAGCGGTATTATCGCTAACATATGCAGGAAATACTTCTGTGAAGATTCCTGCACTGACACCTATTGGATTTAATCCAACGCCCTTCATGGTATTAGCCAGGGGAATAGTTGTTCTCTGATAGGTGTCAGTCCATTAACCTTCAGTGTAGTTAAATAGCGACTGGCCTTTTAGTTAATTTCAAAAATATACCCTTACAATTTAAAGAAGATTCCTACGGCTGGGGTTCAATCAAATACGCGAATGAATGTAATACATACAGTCATCGATGTCATGAGTAGATTCAACTCATTCCGTGACAAAAAGTCGTAATTTTATGAACGAGTTGAGTGTTTTTTCTAATAATTTTATCCGTATTTGCTACTGAAGAGCCGATATGGCAAGTGTCTTACGGCGAAACATTGGATGTCTAGCAGTGAGGATGACAGTGTTCCATGTAAATTTTACTTCTTTCATTAATTATATTATGTAGGAATCCTGTGAATGATATCTGATTCAATTCCACCACGAAAGTATGGAATACAAACGGAATAAAGAAAAGTTTTTTTTCGTATAATTCAGCGTTCATATAAAAGTATTTGTTTCGGAAGTATTTTTCTTTCGTGTAATTCACTGTTTATATGAAAATAGCTGTTCAGAGAGGGCTTTTTCATCCAGTTTGTGTCTGAAAGTAACTTTTCTGCATGACCTACACATGTTTGTATAGAATTGATTTTTGAAATTAATAGCTTCTTTCCTTTCTTTCCTTAGAAAGCCAAAATATTTCTCTCCCAAAAAAAGTATTTGACAAAAAACCACATTTCTGTTTTCAATCCAATTTAGGATTTTTTTGTGATTGACGAAGTATATGCGAATCCACACCGTGTTTCCCTCGTATCAATAGGGGTAGCATCGCAGCTACCCCTATTGAAACCGAGAATTGGCTTCATTTCATTTCGTTCAAATCATCAAAAATGGTACGGGACAAATGANTGAATTTTTTTTAACACGCTTTCATTAGCTTCACCTGTATGTATGTATGTCTGTTTGTAACTCTCAAGGTCGGGATCTGTATTTGACAGAATTATCGACATTATTGCTTGATCTATTCGCGTGCAGTTGGCGCTGTACGTAACCTCCTTGATATATCGACATTATTGCTTGACCTATTCGCGCACAGATGGCGCTGTACGTAACCTCCTTGATATATCGACATTATTGCTTGATCTATTCGCAGATGGCGCTGTACGGAACCTCTTTAATATATTGACATTATTGCTTGATGTATTTGCGGGCAGATGGCGCTGTACGTAACCTCCTTGATATATCGATATTATTGCTTGATCTATTCGCAGATGGCGCTGTACGTAACCTCCTTTATATATCGAAATTATTGTTTGATCTATTCGCGGGCAGATGACGCTGTACGTAACCTCCTTGATATATTGACATTATTGCTTGATCTATTCGCGAGCAGATGACGCTGTACGTAACCTCCTTGATATATCGACATTATTGCTTGATATATTCGCGCACAGATGGCGCTGTACGTAACCTCCTTGATATATCGACATTATTGCTTAATCTATTCGCAGATGGAGCTGTACGTAACTAAAGTATTGACATTATTGTTATATCTATTCGCGGGCAGATGGCGCTGTACGTAACCTTCTTGATATATCGACATTATTGCTTGATATATTCCCGGGCAGATGGCGCTGTACGTAACCTCCTTGATATATCGACATTATTGCTTGATATATTCCCGGGCAGATGGCGCTGTACGTAACCTCCTTGATATATCGGCTTGATATATTCGCGGGCAGATGGCGCTGTACGTAACCTCCTTGATATATCGATATTATTGTTTGATATATTCGCGGGCAGATGGCCTTGATATAATTCGAACTCACTTTACATGTATTTCTTCATCTGAAAAAAGGATTTTTTTATTAACACGCACGCCTGCTGCCTTTTTTGTAACCCTCCTTTTTGCGCCTGCTGCCTTGGGCTTGGTAGCTGATTTTAGTTTAAAACAATAACGAACGAAAAATACTTGTATCATTGTGAAAAAAGCGTGGGCGCTTTGTGCCATATTTTTTTGTATATCAAGCGCTTGTCGCTTTTTTCACAATAATACTAGTATTTTTCGTTCGTTATTGTTTTAAGCTTATTTGAAAAAATATTTTTAACTTTTTGATTCGATGTTTTTCAAAAGCGTGTTTTTTAGTTTTTTAAACTATATTTATTTATCCTTCGTTTGTTGTCGTAGCTCGCTCGATAAGTGGAAATGAACAGTTAGTGTGCTAAGCATTAAAAAAGTGGTTGATTGCGATTTTTTGCCATTTGTCAAGTTACATTTGTTATTGTGACAATAGCGATTTATAATATTAACACAAAAAATGTTTTTTCCGTTCAGCACCATGTACCTTGAAAACAATTATTTCCAGATCTACGTTAATAGATTTTCCTAAAATTAGCTCTTACATTTTTTACAGCAATTAGGAATTACCCTGTAGATATTGACATGCGAATCTTTCCAAAAAGTAACTATCAGAACTGTTTTATTTAAAATATCGAAATATTAAACCATTCAAGAAAGCAGCACTTTTGAAATTAATGTTATTGTCTCGAAATAAAAATCCAAGTAATATAATACTTATTACGTTTTCACCATAATTAGTGACAAAGTGATGTTGAGAACTCATAACATACCTATATCAATAACTGAAATTATACATCAACGGTAGTCCAACAATATCATTTTTAATTTCGCTTGTGGTTCATAACTACAGTTATCAAATAATTAACATCGATAGTCAGGCAAAATGATAGTTTCTCGTTATTAGAAAAGCAATTTGAGATACGAGTGCCTTCAGCTACCGTTACAAGGAAGATGTTAATGTGTTATTGTCTGTTACGATAAATGTTTTTCTGAATAGCAAACGAAACAAAAAAATAATGGCGAAGCCGTTCGCATTAATCTATTTCCATGAAAAATATAAATTTTATTCGAATATCAATGTGAAACCTGTCCCCGATATTGTTTAAATTATTACTCAGGAAAACACTAATGTGAATGATAACTAGAATGATGATTAGTGATATCTGTAAAAGCCCAATGCTAATACTTTTCCTGAAAACCAATTTTCTATTCTCAATATGACATTTTAAAATTATTTTCTTAACTTCCTCATCAACCACCTTGAAGTGATGACACCCTTTTTGAAATGTTTAAATGAAACAAGAATTTGTGGCATAGAACTTTATAAACAGTTTTCAATTCTCAATCGACCAATATAAAATTTTTTAATTTTTATTGAGGAATATTACATTGCCAATGCCACAGAGTCAACAAAAGTACATGAATGATTTCAAATCAAATGATCAAATTGAAATGTTGTTTAGAAATATATTTATATTGAACCAACATGAAGAAGTTATTGTAGTGTGAGAAAGTCTCACAATAAAGATTACTTAAATTAATTACATAAAAATGAATGTATATTTATCTACCCTTCATGTATTTAGTTAGGTGTGAAAGGTAATCAAAAAATGTTATTATTGATTGGTAAAATTCACTAGTGTAGGTACTCGATTTTCTTAGTCTTAACAACGAATCGTTTTTCTCGGCGGTCGTCAGAAACAAATATTTGTTTTATTATATGATTTGAAATTAGAAACTGTTTGAAGAGGGGTCAAAGTTATTCATATTGTTTAAACAATATATATGATATTCAGTTTTGCACGTAGCTGTTTCTGAAGACTCCCGAATATTGACTGTTCCATTTATTCTTCGACGCGACTATCTATAACGTTTTCCATTGAAACAACCTAATTAAATATTTCAAATTCTCATGCCTAAATATAAATCGCTTTATATGTATATTAGCCAGATATACGTGTCAACTTTTCACATGGGGTCTTGTGGAACGTGAACTTTCGAAGGTAAAATATTTATAGAACGTAGGCGAGATGACAAGCAAAATGTAGGTGTCAGTATATGACGTGACGATATCATCTTTCAGAAATGAATGAAGGCTCGGGTATTTTCAGACTCTACTCATGAATGGCTTGACGTGATTAACTATTGTTATGAAAATGCACTAAACTTTTATTATCCCAAATTACTCCAAACATTTGTTGTGGAATTGAAACAGATATCATACATAAGAACGCTACACAAAACGTAAGTATTAAAGAGTATTGATATAAAGTTTCGGTAACATGAAACACTACCATCCCCAATTGTGTACTTCAAAGTTTCGGGACAAGTGAGCCGTAAGAGGGAATAGTAAATCGATCTAGTGAAGTGATCTCAACAGTTTGGTCTAAAAGGTGTTTTCAGTTGTTTTTATACTGTGAAATGAAGTTGTTAAATAATAATCACACGTGTTACTGTACATAATTCAGTGTAGGCTAATGTATTTTTTTTACATGATGAACTACTATGACAATAAAAAAAATCGATCTTGTATTAATTAAAACTGATTGATTGAAAATGTTGAACAGTCACATGCTTTTTAAAAGTTCACTGTCAGTTATTGAAAACGTTAATGATAATTCACCGGTGCAATATTACGTTTGTGATAGTGAGTTAACTAAACTGAATTTCTATTCCAGGAACACATTTTGAAAGATAACTTGTTTCATTTTCTTCAACTTTTTCGTTCACAAGTTGATGTTTTGTTTTTCGTAATCGAAAACAATTTTCGTTAGCTCAGAACTTTTCTGGTTTTCTTGCTAGACTTAACCAATCTGTCTTTCCGATTTTGAAATTTGCCATTTTTTTATATTGTAGTGAGAAAAAACCCAAGAAGTTACAAATATCCAAATATCGTATTGAATGCAATAAATAAAAAAATGTTCGTTCTCCTTCTTTATGTTTCAGTATGGATTTGAAAAATGCAATAAAACATTTCCATATAATTTCCTCTTCAAGTTCCGTTTCAGTTCGTTAGCAGAAAAATTAACTGAAACCTTTCATCTAGAAGCGAATACATGATGATAAATTGTTACTCAGAACATAAGGACATAAATCAATCAACAAGTCTGGAAGTAGCAGATCATTAAACCTCGAAAAAAATGAAACATTAACTGGACAAGAAATTGTTCCTTTTCTATTAATTTCATGTCTGACAGCTTTTCCGCGGCTAATAGGTTTTTATTGACGCACACTTTCCCTAATGAACTAATGTACCACTAAAAAAATTCAACGGAAAACTTCTGAAATTAAGCCACATAACGGCAATACTCAAAGTTTATAATTACTATTATGTACCTCGTAATGCTTTCAATGGTAAATGATAATTCGAAACTGTGACATCGCAGCAATTTAATTTGAATGATTTAGTAGATATATACGGTGTGCAATAGACCAATCACAATCGCGTTGGTGGTCAGTCAGATCAAATAATCGTTTTCGAAACAAAAACATTTAGTTTAGGGTGAAAGCAATTGAACTGTATTTTTGTATTTCATTATTATATTGCCCAGTCCCGTAAAATATGATGTTAAGCTTGCCAACAGTTGCTGAATTACTTCTTTTTTCGTGGTTACCGGTTCTAATCCTTTCATTTATAGAACTTATGTTTAACCTCTATAATTTTAAAACGTCATTCTGCTCTTTCTTTGAAGTTGATAGTTCTTTTCTTCGATTAACATGATGTCTTGGTCGCAGAACTTGCATCATTTTAACAACCAATGAAATCCGTCAATGATACTCCAATCTACTCTACAATACATCTGTGAGCTGATTAGATATGCAAAATGCATTAGTCTTCCATATCTCTGCATCATACTCCTGCAAGTCTCCTATGGTTGATATTTGCTCCTGGAGTGGGTCTGGTGTCCTTGCTTCAAGTATTGTAGTCCAAATGGCATTTCTAGAGATCCTGCAATATTTTAATAATCATTCAGACTGCCTTCCGGAATAATAGAATATATTTCGAGGACCTAACCTAGCCGGACTAGGCTTTTTTTTTTCTGCCTAAACGTTGACTGCCACAGACGATTGACAATGGTACATGGCCATATAGGCTTCACAGTTTCATGTCATAATGATTCTGAATTTTTTCATGTATTCAATTTCTTGTTCGTGACGCACTCGCTGATTTTTCAACTGATTTTTCACTTCTCAAACTTCAAATATCTTAGACTTGTTGAACTCTCTCTGTCATTTCTTTCTGGGAGATTTGTTGGCCCTTTGTGAAGAGTCCCATTTTTCTGCTATGAATGCTAGAGCATTCTCGGTTCTTGGTCTCATCATAATTGTTTTAGCAACTTATCTCGTCCATATCTTCTTTACTTTATTGTTTTAGGGTGATGAGATTATTTTTGAAGTTTTTGTTTCACAACCTTCAAGTACAGATCAAGATACAGGTCGTTGAAGTTTAAAAAAAATGGTATTTATAAAATATCAAAAATATCCCTACACCGATTTGGTTGAAATTCGCTACAGTTATTTGACGTAATAAGGCGCTTATTTAGCCTTAACTAAATTGAAATTATTAGGACCAGTGGCGTCTCAGTGGGCACAGCCAACAATATTGTGAAAAAAAAAAGAAAACGCCACTGACTTTTTGTAGTTTTTTTATTTTTTCAGATTAGGCAACTGAAAATACAACTTTTTTGTTGCTTGTGTTTTCTTCCTTTCAAGCTTCGTTTTCTAGAAAAAAAATAATCACTTCTAAAATCTATCCATAGACAACATAAAATGAAAACCAAAAATACAATTTCAACCTTTAAGTAAATGAGCAACATGTCCACCTTCTGAAGCTGGAGCCCCGTCGTGCATAAACCACATGTTGCCTCTTACAACTACCAGCACTTTACCTAACCTGTTAATCTTGCTGGTAGAAAAAATAGGCCAACTAGGTAAGTCATCAATCATTCCTACCCAAACGTTCAGCGAAAATTGTTGTTGAAAATGACTTTTTTCATTGGCCAAAAATGGTCATTGTGAAAGTTCATTATAGCATCTCGTGAAAAATTTGCTTCGTCTGTAAATAAAATATCTGGTAATAAATCATTATTGTGTGCCATCATATGAATGAACCACCTGCAAAACATTAATCTTGGTTGAAAATCCCGAGGCAGCAGAGCTAGAACAGAGCAGTACAATCTTCCTGGTACTATTTGAGGGATCTTCTTCTATCGCATCAAGTATAGCTTCTTTTTGTTCAGGCGTTGTTATAGTTTGTGGTCTTCCATCACCTGCATTTTTATTAAAACTCCCAGTTTCACATAATCTTGCATGTAGCGTTCTAAATGTTTTTGCACATGGAATGACTCTGTTAAGATATCTGTCTCGGTAAATGCTTCTTCCGCATTTCCATTTGCTAATCCATAAATGAAGTGCATGTCAGCCATTTCAGCGTTAGTAAAATTATTCATGATGGAATCACTGGTAATTGACAACTCTGACTTTCACTGATATGTCAACACTATCACTGTCAGCTGGTCTTCAAAACAAATGGTCATGATATGCAAAGTTGCTTCAATTTTTTTTTAAACGAAGCTAGATATGAAGAGAACAGAAGCGTAGAAAAAGTTGTATTTTTAGTGAATTAATCTAAAATAATTAAAAAACTACAACAGTAAGTTTTTTATCAATATTGTTGGCTGTGGTGCCCACTGAGACTCCACTTGATCCAATAATTTCAATCTAGTTAGGGCTAAATAAGCGGCATATTACTTCAAATAACTGTAGCCAATTTCAACCAAATCTGAGGAAAATATTATATTATAGTGCAAATGGTATTGTAAATACAATATATATTGTGAAAATTTGTAATTATTATCATGAATAGTGTTACTGATTTTTACCGAGTACCGGGGTATAAAATTTCATCAAAGTTTCAATTGTAAAGTTCAATTTTACTTTGGCGTCTGAATTGTTTTTTTATGAATGTGCCTCTGTTAACATTTTTTCGCGTTAGGTGATCATTTTATATACTCTGATCTGCTTATTCATATAATTGTTAAATTGTTAAAAAAGGATATTCCACCATAGCTTGGACACCATTCTTCTTGAAAATTACTATTCTTAGCACTTGCCCACTAGACTGGCATATTGTGTGTAGTACATCCTGCAACAAAAAAAAAATGTTAATTATCTATTTCATACAAAAATTCGGATAAATAAAATCGGTGGTCAAATTAGTGAAAACAGTGTCTGCAGACTGTATCGAGGAGAAAATAAAGATTTTGAAATGTTTATCTCTCCCAACTACCTACCGTGGGTTCTGATAAATGCCTGCCGGAAAACAACTACTTCCCGAGGTAATACCACGCTGGATATTGAATTGTATCCGACAGATATTTATGCAGGTGTTTCTCGTTCATCCAGCAGGAATACTATGCTGAAATTATTCGTGTATTCCTTCTAAATACCGGTTTCGAGGTATAACCTCTCATCAGTGCAGGAAAGATCCGACCCATTGCCTGGGACTCGAATAATTTCAACGCGGTTCAACTGCATGTATGGAATCTTCGTCTAAGAGAAAGATTGTTAACTAGTAATAGCTCCATTTGTTGAACAAAGCCCCAAGCGGGAAAGAAACATCCCATGTATCAATACTCCAACAGATATCGAACCATGTGTGAAGATTGTATCGAGGAGAGCTACATCCTACTTCCCTGACTAATACCACGATGGATATTGAATTATATCCGGCAGATATTTAAGCAAGATACCTCACAAATGTTAGTCTCGAAGACGTTTCTCGCTCATCCAGCAGCAGGACCATGCTGAAATTATTCAAGTAGATCTTCTACAGACCTGTTTAGAGATGAATGTCTGTCAGATATAATTCAATATCCAGCGTGATATTAGTCCGGGAAGTTATTTTCCGGCAGGTATTTACCAGAACTCACAGTGTTAGTAGTTGGGAGAGATCATTATTTCCAGATTTTATTTCGAACTATTCATTTTCTATTAGTGAAAACAGATTTAGAATATTCAAAAAGAGTGCCATGATGTTTGATTTTCTCGCTCTACCTACGAAAATAAATATTAAAAAATATAGCTCTGCTACGCGCAACACTCGGAAGATGTAATGAGACTTGCGCAACCCAAGAGAAAGAAAAAAATACATACTTATCAGTCTACAATAATCTCAAGTACATACGACTAACGATATTTACTGAATTGAATCATTCAGTGATACTAATAAAATTTTTCGTGAAACCTAAAATAAAGCATCTATTACTATTCTGACAAAATGCAAAATTTAATGTTTCCAACTGTGTAGGTATTGAAAATCATGAACAGAGACAATTTATTTGTAAGTCGAAATATTGCATTTTGGTATCAGAGAATCCAATCAATGAGCCATAAACTGATCAAAAATAATAAACAGGTTGAAATCATCGTTTTGACTGCGAAAAAAATACGGTTTTAGATAAATTATGTAGCTACTTTTTCCCACAGTTTGGAATGTTGTTTTTAATGAATATCCTTCACACAAATTGTTATCAATATTATGTTATATCGTATTAAACATATTGAAATTCTTAATATGAAATACATTTTTTTGTAAATGAAATATAAGAAATAAAACTTCCATGTTTTTATACCACTTGTATTTGTAAATAACGTCACAGTAACGTTAGTTACAAATACAGGTGGTATCAAAACATAGGAAGTTTTATTTTTTTTCATGATCATCTCCTACCAAGTAGTAACGGCTATATCCATCAATTTGTTCTTGTTAAGATTTTTGTATCTGTGATACTGGATGAATATGAGGTGAGTAGTGAAGAAAAGCGAGTGTGCTTTAACTTTAACTTTAGACTATACGATTGAAGTAAAACTCTTTCGTCTCCATCTATATACAGAGTGAGTCAACAAGATTCCGTCGATCCATTGCTATCAGGAAAAACAATTTTTCGAATTGCTCATTTTTTTTCGCAGTCATATCGATAAATACTATCTTTCAAAATCATTTTTTCGCATACTGGGTGATTAAACCGAGCGTGGTCAACAAAAGTAATATTTTTTTTAAATGTTCTTAGAGTTGTCGTGGGCGACAGCTGGTTAACAGAAAATAGGTAAGGTTAGGTTAGGTTTTTTAAGAAAATGTTTATGTATAAACTGCTTGTACAGAAACATTTGTTCAATTTCAGTTACTGTAGATACAGGGTCATTTTTTCTCGATAGATATGTCGTCCAGTGGAAAGTCGTAATCAACATTCAGTCTGTAAATCTTTGTTGAAAAAAATCCCTTCTAATATACGAGTATGACCAATATTCTATGAAATTTATCAGTCGACAGGGATTCTGTGCATTTGCTTCTTTCTTTGCAATTCGAACACGAACGTTTAAACTGTTATACGAAAAATATAAAAAAGGACAGAATTAATAAAAATAATAATAATGATATTATTACTAATAATAAGCCTGATGTAGCCTCGACTACCACAGCAAGACGATATTTGTCGTGGAGTTTTCAGCTCCTGGCGAGACGAATATCTTCCGAAAAGAGGAGGAGAAACAGATAAAATATAGAGATTTTCTCTTCGAACTCCGCAGACTCTATCCAGATAACTCTGTCAAGATGGTTGTTCTGATTATTGGAGTCCTTGGTGGAATGATGCCCTCTCTACTCTCGAATCTTAAAATCATACCGGCCTGCCGCACTAAGGCAGAAATCTTAGCCGGACAGATGCAGAAGGCTGTCATTCTTGGCTCACTGCGCTTGCTCAGGTCACATGATTCTCGAACCCAAAGATCACTTACCCCACGGTGTGGGGAGTGGTCGTTGGTTGATAATGCTGGCGCGCCCTCCCGAATGTATCGGGGCTTCGGGGAATAGGGCCTGACCAGCGCAAACTACGGTTTAAAAAAATAATAATAAATGGTCTTTACTTTACTTGGTGGAGTTTGGCATACGTCGCTATTCTTCCATTAAAAGGATACTTTTTCTTCAAAATGATTATGAGTTGAATCAAATTTCAGTTTTTGTTTATTTGTTACGAGTATTTGAAGAAGCAGAACAACTAACAATATTGAATGTATGCCACAATCTCTGTCACATCATGAACTAACATATGGTATAATATAAGACTTGTGACTTCAAAAGAGTCGTCACATTATCTGTTTTCACCAATACCGTTGAATGCAAAATTTAATTATATTTTGGGCGACTTTCATTACAATAAACAATGAGTAATAATTTCTTCAAGTGTCCGACTTTCATTTTCAAAACAAATCATGACTGAAACTTTGGGTCTTTTTTCTTGACTAGTTGAATAAAATAGCACACTGAATCAAATACTTTGTCTAACATGAACAATAAACGTTTTGCAGTTTGTGTTTTTGAAGTCATTACAAAAACATTATCAATCGAAATTAGAGTAAACGGACGTTTATACGTATCAGTTGAGGAAGTTAATTAGATTTAAATGCCTACAGCCTCTTCGGTAAAACTATATCTTTAAAACAAAACATTATTCCAACTACGAAAGCATTGTTAGACTCGACATTGGTTAAAGCACAAGTATAAATGAGCATGGACATCACATCTCATTAAGACGTAGACATAAAGTGACAGAAAATATACTCATCACCAGTCGCGTACAACTGAAGTAAAACTGTTCGAATCAGAAAATAGCGAATCCTTAGCCAAGTAAATGAACGATTCAATTTTTCAATTCCAGATAACATCATGAGCCGTCAGCTCAAAACGAGACTTCGACAGACGACGGCGTAATGACACACTTAATGATTACATTCTCGTTACGAAGGTCGACGTCGAGCAACTTATTTTTAGAAATACGAGATACAATTTACAAATTATTCGGGTCAGAAACGAATGACTCGTCAATAAGGTGAAATTTACTGTTCAATTGAATATTGAAAAGCAAGAACTAGTTTTTTAGTGTTCTGAAAAATGCATAACGATCTTTTTGAACATCTTGATTACATAAAAACTACTTGAAGAAAACTTAAGAATAAGATGTTATGATAAGTTTATCATACATAGCTTCATAAAAATAAACAGTAGTTTTCACGTAATCAACATGATAATGAAATGAATGAATAAAAATGATTAATGATTAATAATAAAAACAATTTATATGGAAAAACAATGAGGGTGACAACATTCATCATGGAGTTTTCAGCTTATAGCAAGGAAAAGTTCAAAAAATTACTGAAATCTCCTCTCAGTGCCACTAATCTGGACACACTCCTTTAGTAAAAGTATTTAATGACAATGACCGCAAAGCCCAAAACTGTCAAAAAATTAGCAAATTGAGAAAGGTTCTAAATTATCAGATTGATCATGAAAATTATTTCGAGTCAACAGCTAAGGAGGACTGTTGAAATGCTACCCGAATAGGACAGTTGGAAAAGTTTTTCTCTGATATGGAAGCATGAGTAGCCATACACAAGAGGAAAGGGTGGGTAAACAAAAGATGTTTATATGGAATGCTGTGACACAAATAGTAGAAGTGAAACCAAGTAGCACATTCAAATTGAATTGTGCCTCTAAACACCAAACGGAGAACCATACAAAGGCTGGAGGTTGAAAAACGATGAGACAGGCGACAATAAAAGAATTAATAAATTCTGAAAAAACCGGATTGTCTCAAAGCTGATCTTGAGACGCTCTCAACGATTCAATATTGCCGTTTTTCTCAGTCAACCCCTTTCATCAACTAATATGAAAGAATCATGTTTTTAAATCACCTTACAGTAAACAAATGATTCTTCAGAACATAACTTTCACAAAAAAGATCCTAAGCTACGTTTACTCGTCCCACCTAAATGTCCTTGAACGAGTCTGACGAATTTTTGACACCGGTATTTGTTACAAGCTGGATGTACCCCCTATCAACAGTTAGAGTCCAGAAAATAACAAAAAAACGATATCTCAGATCAACCAGAAATCAACGTATGCCACAAATGCAAGGCTGACTGACCTATAAACTTCTCCAGATACTTTCTATTAGTGTGCCACCAGTTTTATATCAATGGGCTTGTTTCATGCTATGGAAAATGATACTGGTTTGCTTTTAGACTGATCGAGTAAGGGGTATATTATACTTATTAAGCTTAATCGGTCCCAAGATCTCTTTATATTAG